TCGTGACAAGCCAAGTTTCTGAACCATATAACAGTACTGACTCGACATTTGTATGGAAAATCAGGATGTTATTCATGCTTTATGCTGAGTGGAGTGGAGTAGAGTGGAGTGGAGTGCAGTGCAGTAGATCTCCACACAAATTTCAAACTAATGCAGGAAGGTTTGTCTTACTGTGTTTCTAATCCTGGCTTTGACATCGTCATGTGTGCCTGTGCTGCCGCCTGTAATTGAAACGATGCTGCCCTGTCTAGGTAGGTAGACAGGTGAAAGTGACAACTCCGTTTAGATTTCTCCCGTTATTGGTGATTGGTGCTTGTTGTTGTTGGTTGCGTTGGTTGGGTATCATCATCACCTCTGTCTTCTCTAGATTCCCTTGAAGGTAGTCCCATTTCCGCTGCCTTGTCTGTTCAGTCAACTTGTTAGTTTTCGCCTGTAGATCTTCGAATTTGTGCCACAAGACATCAGACATAAATCATCATCGTTGGCGAAATTCAGATCTTCTAGTGTCTTTTCATCGGTCCAGCCAGCCAGCCAGCCAGCCAGCCAGCCAGCCAGCCAGCCAGCCAGCCAGCCAGCCAGCCAGAGTCTACCCCTCTTCCCGCTCCTCACAATTTACTAGACTTCATCTTATCAACTGAGCAGTTGTTATTCAAGTGCTATGTAGTGATATTTGGTTACCTTGTAGGCTTGATAAAGTGATATTAGTTAAGTTTTGGTGATCTCTCCGTGTATTTAATACATTTCAAAAGATAAGAAATTGCCACCTAAGTGGTTCAGTGGTAACTTCTGTGACTGCAGCGTCCAATGAGATCTTGTATGATTTCCTAGTAGGCGCATGTTCAACCACATATTTTACTATGGTTGTCATTGTTACATCAAAGAGAAATTTATAGTTATTGTAGCATTTTAGGTTGCTCTACGATTCCGACAGCTCTTAAAAGGCTCACAAGATGCACATTTAACAGTATGTTGGTTTATTTTTAGCCATGAATAGTATGATCACTCACGACCTATTTTTCAGACTCCTATTTCTGCCGGTATAGTTTTCTAATTCAATAGGTGCATTTCTAAAACTTTCATCAGAAAACCTAATAGGTTATTGGAATAAATTTGCCTTCCTACTTCATAGTTACTTCTTTCCTAGAAATCTACACCGTCCTGAGAAAGGTTGTCATTTTTTTGAAACACAGAGAAAACGGGAAGATTCTTCAATACGTGATAGGAATACGAATACTCATTCAGACCTTTTAGGCTGATATCCACCAGGAAATATGAGTAATCTTGTGTAAGGATCTCTTTCAGATAGTGTCACCTGAAGATAAGATGCAGTATTATAAGCTAGATAACTTCAAAACAATCTTGATTGAACGGTTTCTTTAACTAAAGCTTCATATTAGGACTTTGTCAACTCAAATACATTGAAGAGCTGTTAGCATTCATCACAAAGGTTATCAATGTAATTCATATAATGAGTGTGTATAAACCATTTCTACGGGTAAGAAGGTATATTTACTTGGTTGTGGCTAGAAGAAGAACCCCGGGGGTGTGCGATCCCTCCTATCTATGACTCGTCAGCTGGATATGCCTGAACTCCAGTAGCAAATGTTGTTCCCACTGATACTCGAGCCTCATACAACATGAACATTCGTGAGCAAAAGTTGTAAATAATACCCGTTGTACAAGAGGTGTCTGTCGTGCCTCAGTAGCCTAGTGGGTAATACTCTGGCGTTTGAAGCAATGAGTACGAGGTTTGAGTCTCAGTGGGAACAATACTTTCAGTGATGCAGGTACATGCTGCTGACGAGTCCCATATAGGATGAAACGCGTATTCTGTATTCTCCTGCTAGCCACAAGCAAATAAATTACCGTAATAAATATCCAGGAAATATCAAGGCATATGCATACAAGCCCATATTCCAATAGAGTTCGAACAATTCGATTCAGTATAACAACGGAGAATTACAAGTACATGAACAAAAAGAAGGCACTTTTAATTCGTATTGTTGCTTCAGCTACTCATGAGTAGCTGCTGTCTTTGATTTTCACATTTTTTGTATTTAAAGAAAAATTTACTAGTCAATTTTGTTATATTATAAGAAGTGTCCTAGTTACTGGCTAGTAATTTGAAGTGTCTTAAAATTTGAATGGTCTTAGTTTATCCCAGATGCAATAAACAATCAATAGATGTTTTTGGTGATATACAGCTTGTACATTTCTGTCGTTGATGGGATCGAATTGATCGACCACTATTGGAATATAGGCCATTGTACGGGTAGCTCGATATCACGTTTGGCGGTAATGATGGATACTGGTTAGCGGCAGAATGTGGAACCGGTTTTTTTAGACATCCACACAGAAGCTTATCTACCAACAGAGGTCAGGTAATTCAACCACGTATAGCAACGGGAAATTACAAGTGTCAAAGACAAAAATTCAATGCCATTCACACTTTCATGTATAAAAGATACTGTATAAGTGAGTAAAACAAAAGGAAAAGTTAAACAATTGTTGTTATATAAATTTTACGAAAATATTTCCTTTTATATCTCATCAGCTGTCAAATCTGTCAGTCATAGTATACGGTTCATCACGGAAGAGAGGGATTATATACAAGCATCAGTCAATCACAGTTTATGCGTGTTCACCCAGCATGCAAGTATATGTGTCTGTATGTAAATAGAGAGTAGAAAGAGAGGCATTCGTGGCTGAGTGACTGACAGAGTCACTAACTCTCTAAAGGTCAAAACATAAAACCAGACTAATTGTTAGTGATGATGATGATAATGACGAAGAAGAAGAAGAACGGAATTATATGTCTGATGTAAAGGTGGGATAAAATATGAAATCGGTACGAAAAAAAGTAGTCTAGAACACAAATAAGTCATTCTAGGGCCTGTTATTAAAATACGATAGTGTCATATATTGCTTATTCTACTGCCTCCCCCGCCCCCTTTACCTATTTGATAAATCTCTGGAGGTTTGTGGAGACTTATTGATTGTTTCCAGGTTGGAACTCACCATAGACTGACATCAGCTGGAGGAACATTGGAAACCTAGGAGTACTGGACAGCTATTTCTTTCTAGTGTGTTACTTCTCAGTATTGCGCAACCATAACCCCGGCTGTCAGGGGTCAACCAAGAACCTTAAGGTTCCTCGGCCTGCACGTTACTAATGAGCCACAAACCCCTAGATTGAATTAGTCTAGTGTTCATTGGAGACTGTCTTCGAGAGGTAGTTCCCGAGGTTTAAATGAGAAGTCGTGACCAGTGGAGTCAACCAAGTCGAAAATGAGGACAGTTACTCAACAATGGCATTGGATGATGGTCGTGGTATACCATGAACTGACAGAAGTAGGGAACGTGGACCATTGGATTTTGACCCGATAGCTCAATGGCAACGTGCTGACCGCGTAACCTGAGGGGAGGGTCATGAATGTGCACTTCTAAGGAGTCCCGTACTTGGTCAAATTAGCTGTTCAGTTTTCCCAGGTTTTCAACTGTTTCCCAACTAATGTCAGACCATGATAAAAATCAACCTGAATTATACATATATCATGCAAAAGCATTCAGCACATACTATTGAAGTTTTTTTTGGACCGCGGTAAAGAACCTAGAAGATTTAGATTTCGTCGATGACTTGTTTCTAATATCACACAAACTTGAAGATCTACAGGCAAAAAATAACAAGTTGACAGAAGAAGCGAGGCAGGGAAGCGAAGACGGGACTTCAAGTGAACGTAGATAAGACAGAGGTGATGAAGATATCCAACCAACACTACCACCACCACCATCAACAACAACTCTAATCACCATCAACGGGAGAAACTTAAAGGAAGTAGCCTCTTTCACCTATCTAGGCAGCACTGTTTCAACTACAGGCAGTGGCACACACGAGAACGTCAAAGTCAGAATCGTAGAAGCAAGACAGGCGTTCATTAACCTGAAACCAGCATGGAGATCTTCTGCACTCAGCACAATGCGTGAACAACATCCGGATTTTCAACACCAAAGACAATCAAGTCAGTGCTTCTGTGTGATGGTTCAGAGACTTGGCGCGTTGCGAAAGGCATTTCCAACAAACTACAGATATTCATCAACAGCTGCCTACGCTGGCTGGTTACTGAAGATCAGATGACCGGAAAGAATAAACAGCAAGGAACTCACTCTGGCAACGAAGCAAGAAGCTATCGTTGAACAAATATACAGAAGGAAGTGGAGATGGATTGGATTGGGCATACACTGAGAAGGCCGACTGGGGACATCACGCGCAAGGCCAGGGCATCGAGTGGAACCGAGATGGGAAACGACGAGTTGGGAGTCCGGGGTGAGGGTGACATGGAGGAGATCGTGCGAGGAGGAAATGAGAGGTTGTGGGCTGTCGTGGAGCCAGGTTGAAAAGATTTCAAAGAGAGTGGAATGGAGACGTGCTACTGAAGCCGTATGTTCCATTAGGGACCCAAGGGACAAATAATAATAATAATAATTGAAGTGCTTTAAAGACCAAACTGAAGACAATAGAAATGTGTCATTATTACAGAAAACCAATCCAAAAACCTAAATTATTTCGGGATCAACATGCATTTTTCTGGCATAAATTTAAAAAACCACTCAAAACTGAACGACTTATCTTCATTTTTGAATGTTTGTCTCTGGAAAGATATTGCAGGAAAACAAGCAAATTTTGAGAAAGTAATTCGTATGGGTTGAAATCTCGGAGACAAAGTATATCAGCTCGCAAATTAAGTTATACACAACATCTTCGAACAGTAAAGGTAACACAGAATGTAACAAGATGCTGTTTATTGATGCCCGCTGCACAAAACGTGTCTCCCCTGCCTGAGTAGCCCTGTGGATAAAGCTTTGACATTTGAAGCCATGGAAATCATGCGTCCTGTATTTCACTGTTAATCATTAGGTATACTACAACGTGGTTACAAGATGTTAGAAGAATTTGAGGTGATGTGAATAAATTTTGCCGCAGTTATGATCTGAACTATAATATGAGACCTGGACATTTTTTGATTGACTTACTTGATCAATGTCTGGCAGACTATGAAATCAAAAAATCCCCAGTTGTCATGTTCACCAAGAATTCAAAATTGTTGAAACGATTTACAACTGATGATTATAATGTTAATGTAAGTTGTACCTATGAGATAATATTATCTTGGAGTAAACTTCTATCTGAACATAAACAGAAGTCTATTAACCTAAGCTGAAAATATCAGGTATATCAAAGATCAATAATATAGCCACTGAATCATTTGGATACATGCATGGAGTTATAAGTGGTTTGATAAATAGGCTACTAGAAGCGATATATTGTAAGTGAGTTGGACTTTTATGGAAACAGCGTTTAATAGGTCAATTCACTTTCAGGTGTCAAACAACAATTAAAAAGCCTAATGTTGTTGCTTATATTTTCGCGTTATTGATTCGACTGAACTGATAGGTCTATAGTGGCATATAGGCTCTTGCGGGAATGCCTCGATACTGCCTGTGTTTGAATTATATATTAATGATGGACAGCGGCCAGTAGGGGAATCCGAGTGACAGTATTAAAACTATACTCGTCGCACAAGAAGTGGCTAACGTCACTTGGTGGTCTAATGGATAAGGCTGTGGGGTTTGGGTGACCGGTCCCGATGGGAATATCACCGCCCACTACGCGGTAGGCACATCCAACTGACGAGTCCTGAAATGGACGAAACGGGCATTTTGGTTTCCATCGCTAACAGTAATAATAATGATAATAATAATTCACTAGGCACTATCGATCATAAAATTAAAAAGTTTCATTAGCATTCTAAAATAAAACAAGCAAAAAGTGGACAAAACGAGAAATTTTAGCATCTCGAAAGATTAACCTGAAACAAATAATTCATTTTTGGTAGAAAGAGACTTTGATAAGTGTGAATGGCTCAAAAACACGCCGGTGTAATTAAAAATCCACCCAAGAAATGTACTCAAGTTGGGAGGAAATCATGACAATAAACTAAGTTTGTGGATTAACAGAAAGCACTTACTATATCCTCACCTATTAGCGTAAATTTATCAGATATGAAGGGAAAATAAAGTACTGTGCTCATGAATACCATTTTTGAGGCCAGACCTTCATCCTGTAGTATTAATGCTATAGTTAAGTTTCTTTTCATGTGTTAAGGGATGAATCGTGCACTAGCCGTGACTACCATGCATTATTGTTGATATCAAGTGAAGCATTAAACCTCAAGAAGTCTGACTGAAATAAACAAATATTCTTGCAAAAAATATGAATTTCTAGTCAATCGGGACTCAAGAAACTCATGCCTTTGCCTACAGTACTGAGTAGATCAAGTCTGAATATCGCGGGGAAAAACAGTTTTCTCAAGAACGCAGTTACACTTTGTTGATGAATGCTGATAAGCACGAAACCTAAGTGGAGGGCTTTCTGAAGATTACCTGCAATAAACTAACATCTAGCCAACTTTTCCAATGAAGGTGCTATGAAAAGTAAACAACTTGAAGTGTACATTTCTTTTCTGATAACACAGTTGGCAATGTTATGCTGTTTTCCGTAATTGTGGAAGGATTTCACTTGCTTACTATGTTAAAGGCCAATTTATACAGTTGTCTTATAGAATCCCACCTAAAGCTATGAGAGTAAAAATATCACTATGTTCTCATGGTCTTGCCAAACTTATGGTAAGTGTAATATAAGGCACCCTTATATCTTAAACTGACACCGAGTGACAAAATAAACGTAAAACAACGCGCACAAGTTCATCGCCTCAAGTTGCCACATTTCACAGTAGTACACAAAGAACAGATGGATAGAAAAGGAGTGATATCAAAGTACAGAAGGTTGTGAGAGAATAAATAATCTGAAGATAAAGGTTGTTGTGAATGTTCAAGCGTTAGAAGTTGCCAGGGTGTGAATACATATGCGCCATTGTGACTGATTTCCAGCCATGTCACCAAATGTCCTCAATCACTGATTCCTCTCGTCTCGGGGACCCCGAACACGTAATCTACATCTCCCCAAACGGTTCAGACCATCTGTCAGGAATTTCATCGTTTGATGCCACGTCTTGGTCTTGCCACCCTGAACCATTTTCCATCCTAATCCAACTTCCCTTAGCATGCCACGCCGAAGCAGGCGGTGGCTAAACATATGCAGTCGACTAAAGTTCATAACCTCATTAATCAACTTGTCTCTTTTGCCGAGTATCCTTCTCCTGACCTCAACATTGCTCAGATGGTGATTCCACTAAACGCGAGAAATGCTACGAAGCCATCTGTGATGAAAACACTCTAATTGCTTCATGTCTACTCGCAACGGTCTTGTCTCACAGCCGTACAACGGAATAGAATGGACTGCAGCGTAGTATACTCTTCCTTTTGTAGGTAGCCAGATATCTCACCGATGCCACAGGTGACGTAAGTTGGAAAATGATAAACGGGCCTTCACTGTCCCAGCTGAGATTTCGTCAGAAGTCAGCCCCTTCGGGGTGATACAACTCCCCATGTTAGTGAAATGGTCGACACATTCTACCACTTCACTCTTTATCATTAAACTGGGAGTACTTGCAGCTGACCGGTCCTAAAGCATAATCTTACATTTGAACGGTATACAACCCATGGCAGCCAAACATATTCAGATTGATGCTGAACACGCTCAGAAGACCCTGCCTGCATTTTGTCAGCGTCTCCATCTAGCTGGACAATATCGTCTGCATATTCCAAGTCAACTAGGTGACCTTCAGGGAGTAGGTCAATCTCTATAAAGTCTATGAGGTTGTGTCCATTAGTGCGTCTATGACGAAGTTAAATAAGAACGGCGACAGTGAATGTCCATTCCGGACACCACTATTTGTTGTTAACTCACTTGACAAATCTCCATAAGCCGTTACACGGCTGCGTGAGTTTGAGTAGAAAGCTTTATTTATCGTTAAATACTTTCTCGGTACTCCCTTCATAGTTAAGCACTCCTACAATGCCACACGGTTGACCTAGTCAAGTAAGGCCTTCAGATCAAGAAATGTGGGAGGTGTCGGCCGTCGATAGGTATGCCTGTGTTCCAGAATCTGTCGGAGGGTGAAAATATGATCGATGCACCCTCGATCAGGTCTGAAACCTGCCTAGTTTTCTCTGTTTTACTGTTCTTGAGCTCCAATTAGGAGTCGAATAACAATGCATCCTAGGATCTTGGATACAATATTAGTCAAGCCAATTTCCTTATGGTTATCACAAGATTTCTCTCCGGATTAAGCTCCTAAACTGTTTTTCCTTCACTTACTAGCTCTCATTAAGCATAGCACAATCCGACAGAAAAATCAAGACTACAGGCTTGGTCATTTAAAAGTGATGTCTTCATTTCCTAAGCGACAATGAAAGTTTGAACAAAAGAAAGTTGATGTACTTTCTTATTTAAAGAGTCGAAAGTACATGAGGAATAACTTCAAAGGAGGCTGCTGTAAGACAAGTCATGTTTTCATGAATGTCTAGGCCAAAATCGTTACGAATATGTCTGAAGAATTTGAGCACCAAGTCTTATGTTGTCATTATTATCCAAGGATTTTGGTGAAGAAGCTGTGTATTAAGCAGTGAAATATTGAGAAAAACTTTGTTGATTGAAGGCAGTTGGCAGGAACCCCTCTACCTAGTTTTCATACTTGTTGGGACCCATCGGCAAAAAGTATCTACAACCTTGAGGAAACTGATGTCCTTTCTGAGATCTGAACTCATGTCACAGTGTTGTAGTCAGTAACATTGTCATTGAGCACTTTGGGCCACGATCATATTTTAAAAGTACTTTTATCATGACTGAACCATATTTCACTGACTTGCTTCACTTTTCTCTTCAACGCTGACATTGATTTGACTGCTAGATGAGATTATACGGAAAAGTTCTTCCAGAAATTGCTCATGGACGTCAGTAAAACACAGCTGAGACCAAATGTTTGCTTACTGCTTTTGGTTATTGATTTATACCACCAAGTATATACTTTTGTCATACCTGGTATTAACTTTGATGTATGTTAGGTGGATGGAGGCAATCGGAAATAAGTCTTGTTTGAACTAGGTTTCGTGGTTGTTGGCACTTGTCAGCAAGGCACATCTGCATATTTGCTTTTGCTACTGTAATGTCACCTCAGTTCATTTTAATGTACTTTTCAGGCCATTTAGAATTTATGACCGGTTTTTTTTCACAAGGGTTTATTAATTTCAGTATCTTTTTGAGGGTGTGTTCTCGAAGTGGAATGGTTTAATTCAACTGAGAGGATACAATAACATCAAATTCATCCTCCATAGCTATAAATATTCTCCATGATTTTAGTGTCTATTTGCATGAGGCAAAACCGAATGTAAGCACTTAGTTTGAATAGAAATTAGATCAAAAATAAACTGAATTAATCTATTAGAATATAAGTCCCAAAATATAGTATAGTTTTTCAATTTACCTAGTAAGTACTATACATAATGAGACAAGATATTCGTGAACTTCACAGACAAGAGTTCAAAAGATATAACTTCAGTGAACCCGCTTAAGAAAATCTTCAGGATCTGCCTTAAAAATGAAAGGTTCCATTTCTTTTCGAATGTCCTCTTGCAAAAACGCAGACTACCTGAAGTGTTATTAACACTGGATAAGGTTTACACTATCTTTGTATTCTTCGATCGGCTTAAGTCATGTCGGTTATTTGTATTGTGGCTGTGCTTTGAATTTCAAATCAAACGTAGATTTGCAGCAGCTAAAGTCAGCTCAAAGTGTGATGTTCGTTTATTTGGCCTCCGTATGACTGTATAGATAGCCACACCACATATCAGTACGTCAGATTAAAGGGAACCAAGATGAAAGATATAGAAATAAAGAATGAAGTAATCAAAAGTAATACAGAGTCGTCGAAAGAGAAAAAGAAAGGATAAAACGATGACAAACTTCGGTGTGATGATTAAGCTTAGGGTAGTCTGTAATGCATGTGCCAATGAGGTCACTTCTAAGCCTTATCTTCCGGAGTCTCGAGCCAATGATATCATTTGTCCTGTGGATCCCAACCGGGAATCTACACATCTTTTGGCAATTTAGATCAAGAGTTGGAGTCATCATGAACTGAAACCACGTTTTAGCATGATCTCCTCTGACTTCTTTGTGGCTTAAGCCCACTTCGGTTAACACTATGAGCCGAGTTGGGCAGTGACTAGGTATGCTCAAGATATGTCCAAGACACCTGAGTTG